AACTGTAATTAGCACATTTATTACTTTAATACGAATCAATGCTCTGAAAAGACTTTAATCTCAAAGATAAATTGAGATTATTTCCCACATTTCCTTCAGACTATTGAGATATCCATTCTTACTTCTTGGTATAAATCACTAACACTATCCTCAAAATATTTCCAATTATAGCGGATCTCAAATCATCAGAATAAATGTAATTAAGCTTCATTCTAAGTTGTTCTGAGGCTTCCTGAAAACCCCAAGGAAAGTACAGGAGGAGCCATTTCCCAGCTAGGAGGAGATTCTGACAGTGACAGGCAGGAGCTGCATTTTCAGAAAACCCCATGGTAGTGCTTTCCAGCCCCACCCTGCCTGGTGCAGCAGGAAAGGGCATGTGGCCAGGTCCCACTCTCTGCCATCACTTGTTGCCTTTGTGCTTCTATCCATCAGGCCAAACACAGAATCAATACCTAGTTGCCTAGCAGGGTTTCTTTTGAGGTTATCACTCCCGATCCTTCAGCTGATGGATGCATAATACTGATCAAATTGACTGAGAGTTGAAAAGCTGTTTTCTGACACAGTTTGATGAGTTACCATCTTCTGTCAGATAAGGAAGTTTCCACAAAGCAAGAAAAATTACTTTTCTGGTGTCTGCCCTTGCTCTATAGAAACAGACCCATAGCTAAGAGGCTTAAAGTGGAAACAGCAAGACAATTCAGGCTTCGCTGGGACTATGCTGACTTTTCACAGTGAATTCCTCCATTTCATGTGTGTTTTCAAAACCTCAATTTCTTTTCGTAGGGAATGGTATTTAAAAGCATTCTTTGGAAACGTCAAATCAAAGTAAAATCCATTAAATACCTAGGATGTGGTCTTCGAATAACACTAAATGAGAAGTAAGTTTTTAAAAGAATACAGCTACCAAGGTTCTGATTTATTTTGTGATAAATGTCCATTTATCCAAAATTGTTTCTGAATCCTGAGATTTTTTTAAAATATATTACCAAAAAGACACAGGCTCTAGCTATACTCTTTTCTCGTTTTCATATTTATGGCTTCCTCCAGTGACAAAAAAATTGCTAGCATAAACTACTGCAAAAATAAGTTTACTAATTAGAGTTTGGTATCTGCCCAGGCTACATTTCCTCTTGCATACTGCACAATACAGAGATCTTGGGTGTAGAGTCCACTGAGATCTGATAAATACACCTCTCCTAGAATCATCACCCCAGATCAAGTTTATAGAGGATTTTTACAATCCCAGAAATTACCTTCTTTCCCATTGTAGTCACCCCAGCCCGCATACTCATTGTCCTGGTTAGCGGTTTGTCAACTTGATAGTAGCTAGTTATTTGGGAAGGGGAAATTGAGAAAGTGTCTCCATCAGGTTGTCTGTAGGCAAGTCTATAGGGCATTTTCTTTATTATCAACTGATGAGAGAGGTCCCAGCTCATTGTGGGAGGTGTCACACCTGGGCAGGTGGACATGGGTGCGTATTATGAAAGCAGGCTGAGCAAACCAGTAGTAAGCCAATTAGCAGTGTTCTTCATGGTCTGTTTCGTTTCCTGCTTTGAGTGTCTTCCCTAATTTTCCTGCATGATAGTCTATAAACTGTAAGCTGAAATAAACCCTTTCTTCCCCTAGTTGTTCATGGTGTTTTAACACAGCATCAGAAACCTGACTAGAACACTCACTGTTCTCAATGCCATACAATACTTCAGTCTGTACTTGAACTTGGAATGAAATAATAACACTATGTGTCTGTCTGCTCAACAGATGAGGCATTTATTTGTGGACTGTTTTGTGACTTGTGGTTTTTATGGGATATTTCCTGGTCTCTATTGTACCATGTAGAGCATTGCTTTTTCAATGCTGGAGGTTGAACCCAGGGCCTTGGACATTCACTACAAGTGCTCTGCCACAGAACCACATCTCCAACACTCGACCTTATTTTTTGAAACATGGTCTCTCATTGAATCTGGAGCTTTTCAGATTAGCTAGTCTAACTGGCTAGCAAACCCGGGGATTCTCATGGATCCTCCTCCCCAGAACTGAGATTTTAAGTTTGCATTGTAGTCACTGTCTAAAAGAACGTACCTTAATTCAAAAGTATTTTATTGCTAAAACAAAATAAAACAGGTGCTAACAACCATGTGGACATTTGGGCCTTCAGAGAGCTGTGTTATTTTAGCTGTGGAGTCTCCCCTAAATACTGATGAGTGCTGTTTGATGGGGAGGTTGCTGGGGGTTGGACTGTGGCAATTTCTTAAAAAAGACAACAATAAATCAACAATGAAGTTTTCTGCATTGCCTAGCTGATCCTTTTATGACCCTTTTATTTCTCTGTAGCATGTGATGCTGCTTGACAGCATTTTACCCACAGGAGAACCTGTCAAAATAGGAATCAAGTCAGGTGAAGGGGAACATGTGCACAGTCCCACACTCAGAAGGTGGAAACGGGAAGATCATGGGAGCCAGTTCTGAGCTATTCTGTGCTACACCTATTGTTCATTCTAAGTGGGTCCATAACTGTGACCTTCACTCCAGCCTGGGCAACACGGTAAGCGTCCGTTTTAAACCAAAAGTTAAAATACTGACTGTGGTAATTTGAATGTAATTGGCCTTCATAATCTCATAGGGAGCAGTACTGTTAGGAGACGTGACTTTGTTGAGGTGGGTATGGCCTTGTTGGAGGAAGTGTGTCACGGGGTGGGAGTGTGGGGGTGAGGTTTCCTATGCTCAGGATATGGTCCAGTGTCTCAGTTGATTTCTTGTTGCCTACAAGATAAAATGTAGCCAGCACTCATGCCTGCCTGCACACCACCATGCTCCCTGTCATCATGATGATGGACTGACCCTCTGAAACAGTAATCAAGCCACCCCAATTAAATGTTCCCTTTATATAAGAGTTGCCATAGTCATGGTGTCTCTTCACAGCTATAGCCAGCGTAAGGCACTGACCATGATTAATCAACTATGTGCAACAGTATTAATCCTGTTATCTTTTTGCCAGCGTTCAGTGTCTTCTTCACCCGTAGGCTGTGTTGTTCATTCTTGAGAGGCAGCTCTTCTCCCATTAAGATTTCATCATAAAACCACAGCAATTCAGCCACATCTTCAGACTCACTTCTCATCTGCCGTCAAGCTGCTTCCTCCCCATCAGCAGTTACTTCCATCACTGGAGCCTTGACCCTCACAGCTCCCTAACAGGAGGGAATCGTTTCTTCCAAGCTCCTGTGAATGCTGCTATTTGACCTCTTTTTATGACTCCTGTTTTAATAGCTCTAGAATGGCAAATGTTTTCCAGGTTTTCAGTTTATTTCACAGGGTCTTTCTCTTGGGCTCATCTAACCTGTTAGAAATAATACAGTATTAAGTATGACTTGGCTTTCAACTCATTTGCAGTTTAAGATTTTCTAATTACAATAGAATTCAATCCAGAATTCAATGCAAATCGGAGATGAACTAAGTCACTCAGGTGTATCCTCACTCCTTCCTTCTATGTATTTGCTCACCTTGGGGGTGGGATGGTAAATTCACTGATTCATAATTGATTCCAACCTTTACCCAAGCTTTTTAACAAATTTATTTTAGGGTGTTTTGTCTGCATACCTGTCTGTGCACCACATGAATGTTTGGTGTCCACAAGGGCCAGAAGAGGGCATTGGATCCCCTGGAAATGGAGTTACACACGGTTTTGAGCTATCATGTGGGTGCTGAGAATTGAACCAGGTCCTCTAGAAAAGCAGTCAGTACTCTTTCTTAACCACTAAGTCAATTTTTCAACCCCTTTACTCAACATTTAATTCATTCAAAGTCTGTTGGAGAACTAAGCAGACCAGATGCCTGACCCACCTCTATCAGATTGTTGTACATGCTTTAGCTTTCTCAAGTTTTAAAATAGATGTCAGTACTCACCCAGAAAAATGGAAGGAGAAACCTGATAATAATTAGAAAAAAGGCTTCAGATAAATTACTATCTGGTAACAAACTGCTACATCTTCTGAAAAGGATTAATTTTGATACTATGTATTCCCTGGAATCCTTAAAATGTTTCATGTGTACATCTAAAGAAACCCCCACCCCCCCCTCGAGATAAGATTTCTCTGTGTAGACCTGGCTGTCCTGACCTTGAACTCAGGTCAGTCTGCCTCTGCCTTCTGGGTGCTGGGATTAAAAGTGAGCACCACCCACCCACGTTAAAGAGCAATTTTTACCATAACAGGTTAGAAAATGTTTCGTCATTGATGGAGCTTTAACCAGGACCTTGCACATATCAGCCCAAGTATTTTTAGTCAATCATGATTAAGATAAGTGAGCACTGAGGTCACACCTTATGAAGTAAAACATCATGTCCCCCAGTTACTCTCCAGGTGAAAGTAAAAAAAAAAAAGTCCCACATAAGTTCTATTCAGGTCTATCAAAGAAAAGCTGTACAGTGCTTTTTTCAAGTGAAAAGTGAAAAATTATCAATTTAAGAACAAAAAATTATATGCAGAGGTCTAAGATCTCAGGAGGCAGAGGCAGTAAGATCTCTGAGATTGAGGCCAGTCTGGTCTACATAGAGAGTTCCAGGACAAGGGCTCGAGGGCTATATGGAAAAATCCTGTCTCAATCTCACCAACCCCCCCCCAAAAAAAGCCGAAGAAAAGATAGCTTTGAAAATTACATTAGAGGACTTCAAAGGACAAACAGAATCAGAATATCTGAAGACCGTTACTGAACACCGAGCACTATTTTAGAACCATACACACAGCCAGTGGATTAGGTTCCAAAACTGCAGTTCAGTCTAGTCATACCCATCTTTCCAAAATTCACCCCTCCTGTAATCTGTCTTAGCATATGGTACCACCCACTCATCCACCAAAACCTAGGCTTTGAGAGAGAATTTTGGTGTATAAAGATATCCCTCTTGCCCAACAGCCTTCATCCCTGCTCTCCTAGCTGAGATGTTCTTCCATTCTTCTGAAAGTGTATCTGATATATACATATTACATATAAAGTCACCATGCCAGATGTGAGGTTATCACGGTACTTTATTGTTTAAAATATATTAAATACACAGTAAATATAGCATATTTAAAATATACAAAAATGCTGTATGTAGTAAACAGTTATAACCCTCCCTTCTAAGAACTAAACAGTTATTCATAATTCACCTTTGTGTTTTTCTCTGGCCCTTTTAACTCCTCCTTCCACAGACTATCATTAAGCTTAACTTTAGGTTTTCTGTGACTTTTCTTAATAAATTTCTAATCACATATCTAGCTACCGTATATATCCTTTGGTCTCATGCACTTCTGAACTCAATATAATAGGTATCATGCCTTAAGCAGTCACAAGAACCTTGTTTTGCCCCTATGTTGCCAAGTGTGGCTGTCATTCACTCATTTTTCCACACCATGTACCCGAGAGTACCCTATGAAGCCATTCTCCCACAGACAGGACTTCAGTTATCCCAGGTACTAACATGATTATACTGCCATGACCAAGATGTAAGACATGGCTGAACATTACTGGAAGCTCAGCCCATATTCACTCTGTAGATGTTCATGTCTGTGAGGTGTGACTGTTCTCCAACAGTGATGGGAAATGTATGTGACTACCTACAGACTAACCTGAAACTGTGGATCCCACTCTTGCAAGCAGAATCTCACACTTCTGACCACTACAAAACATCTATTTATTTACTAGCCTCATGAGAATGCTTTTCTATTTTTTTCCCAAGTAGAAAATTTCTATGCATTCTGGCTACTAATCCTTATCAGTTATTTTTTAAAAATGTCTTCTCAAAGCAAACACCTCTTCATTTGTCCTAGTAGCACTGAGAGCTGTAGTGTGTCATGACATTTATACCTTTTTGTCTAACTAGCTCCACCCACAAATCTTCTTTGCAATGAGTCATTGGTCTGGTTTAAGGCCTCTGGCTCACCATAATCACTGGACCCTCACTGAAAATACTCTCGGATATCCTGCTGTTGTCTTGAGTCATGGAGCTCCTGTGGCTATCGTTCCATAGGACAAGTCCTTTAACACACTCCAGCAGGTCATGGATGGGGTAGATGTTAGGGTGGGCCAACCCAAGGCTGGTCAGTCTGGGCCTCTAGGACTTACCCCTCAGGCGAGGTGAGGTGTGGAGTCAGCTCTCCCATGCCTGTGGTAAGGGGTCGTCCCATCTCTTAGTGCTAGGGTCAGCTCTCCCATGAGGGGTTAGGCCCAGCTCTCTGGGGACAATGTCCAGCAAGGGACAAGATCAGCTATCCCAGAGCCAGTGAAGGGCAGGCTGGCTCTGTTTGCTTTGCTTTTAATTTTTTGGGGGGAGTGGTCCTTTTAGGGGACAGACACTGCAGTGGTGAGGGGCAGATATGGAGTGATGGGGAGATGAGTGGGATTGGGGTGCATGATGTGAAATTCCCAAGAATTGATAAAGAATGTTATAAAAAGTTTTCTTGTTTAAAGCATTCGCTTGCTTATCTATAAAGTCCTTAGTTTTATGTAGCAATGACTTAAACCACTTCTGCACTAAAGCTTCATGTATTGTCAGACAAGTTCCCTACACAACTCCATTTGCAGAAGCATCTAACCACTTTTGATCCTTTGCTATTCCACACTAGTCATCTACTTGTCTTCAGTATGACCCCAGTGAGAATTGCTGCTGGAAAGCTTTACTGCAAAGCTCAGTTTGGAAAGACCTGGCATCTTATAACCTTTAATGTTTCTATTCACAGTTCCTCATCTGTTCCTTCCCTGCTGCTCCATCTTTAGCCTTCAGTCTAAACGGGAGTCAACAGAGCCTTCCCTAAGTACTCCCACAACCAGCCTAACACCTTTTGAGCAAACTGTCCTAGAGAGAGAGAGAGAGAGAGAGAGAGAGAGAGAGAGAGAGAGAGAGAGAGAGAGAGAGAGTCTGGAGTAAGCTTGCAATCTGCTGACTGGGCAGCACCCATTGGTCTTTATTACTGAAGTGAAATGAGATAGAGAGAAGCTTGGGATGCTCGACTATCAGGTGCCTCAGGTACTCCCAGAGAAGGTGGCAACCTTCCTCTTAAGGAGCAAGAATCAAGGATGGAGGAGATGGTGACCTTCCTCTTAAGGAGCAAGAATCAAGGATGGAGGAGATGGTGACCTTCCTCTTAAGGAGCAAGAATCAAGGATGGAGGAGATGGCGACCTTCCTCTTAAGGAGCAAGAATCAAGGATGGAGGAGGTGGCGACCTTCCTCTTAAGGAGCAAGAATCAAGGATGGAGGAAGTGGCGACCTTCCTCTTAAGGAGCAAGAATCAAGGATGGAGGAGGTGGCGACCTTCCTCTTAAGGGGCAAGAATCAAGGATGGAGGAGCCTGCAGTACTGAACAGATGAGACCATCCTCTGAAACAATAGGCTGGAAAAACAACTAATGACAGAATGTAAGAATTTAAGCAGGTAGAAGAAAAACATGGTTGAGAAATTACCATAAATATCAAAGGCTAACAAAAGAATTATGTCAAGGGAGGGGATATGGGTAACAATTTGGAACAGTCAATTCTGTCTTAACCACAGAGAAAATAACCCCCTAAGAAGGCCTCTAGATCTAATGATTAAGAAGCCATCATTGGTAAGAGATGAGAAACACATCTCCCTTAACTTCACTGCATTAAATGCAAGAGGAGAAAAATAATTGGTACATGAAAGAAGTCCAAATATGTGAAGACAGCATGCATGAGAGAATCAACTGGGGGAAAAAAAACGATTATTTCCATGTGTGTCCATTACGAATGGAGGTGAATAGCTCAAAGGAGAAACGGAAATAAAACTACCCCCTAATCCCAGACACTGTTCCACAAAACTAGCCTCCAGAGCAGGCAACAGACCAAACAGCAACATGGAGACAATTCCTCCCTGCCCCCAAATATGCATTTATTGTGTGGTATGCCACAACCTGTGTGTGGAAGTCAGGAGTCTCTTCTACCATGTGAGCCCCAGAAATCAAACTCAAGTCAGGTTTGTTAGCCTGTAAATTTACTCACTGAGCCATCTTGCTCGTCCTGTTTTTGTTTCTGAAGACAGTCTATTTAACTCACGCTGGTCTGTTACTCATGCCAATCCTCCTGCCTCAACTTCCCAAATGCTGATGACAGGCATAGGGCAGGCACATTTGGCTACAGACAATTCTTAACTGAAAAATTAAGCATGCAGTCACAAAAGACGAGTCCTGACAGCATTTATAACACATGGAAGCTCCTTCTCTTCCTCAGTCAGTGTAAATTGTAAGTTGGGGTTCTAATCCCAGAAGAAGATTCTCATACAGTCACATCCCCATACACATTTCCCTACTCTACCTCCTCATCCCTTAATCTCTTATTATTTCCATACCCAAAGTGCAAAGACTACAGTGATCTACAGGACTCCACTTAGGTATCTGTGTGCACCTGAATTGTCTTCGTGTACTTATTTAAACCTCACCCACTGAGACAGAAATTAATATCACCGTTCTCATTTTATCAATGACCAAACAGTATTGGAAAGACTAAACATGTGGCATTTTGTCACATGAAGTTACACAGCAAAGTTGAAATTGGAGTCTGTGCTTTCAGAGACAAATGCTCTGAACAACTTCTCCAGAAATAACAAAGAACAAGCCAATGTAGTATATCCAAAATATATGAGTTTAGAGTCACAAGCCCGCAAAGAATTGAGTGGCTTTAAGCCACCCACAGGTCCAGCTCTGCACAGACGCCAGGGCTCAGCTTGATTCTGAGAACAGCTAGAAGATGGTAAATAACAGCCTTGGTAGTCACTTTCTTTCTCTTCCACTTTTCCCCTAGCGCAAAGGAACATGAAACTACAAGGGACAAAAAAAAGCTTAGAAAATGTGACTATGCGTAGCCACATCAGCACACCAGGGCAAACAGTTCGAGTATTTCTGTCCAGCAAGCAGCGAATAGGCCTCTGTCAAAGAGGTTCTATAGTCATTTAGTTGAGCCTCAGAAAATGAGGACTTGCAGAAGTAAAGAGAGGAATATCTTACTCCTGTTGAAACCATTGATATGTCACATTTCTCACGGTGGCACTTTGCTTCTGGGTCACATGTCTCTATACATTCCCCTATACAACTTATTTACAAGACTTTTTTTTAATGTGGCAAAACAGTAAAACCAAACAAATAACAACAAAAATCAGGAACAAGTACCCTCCTAGGTCAAAGGCAAAAATAGGAAAAAAGCTAATTGAGTTGCTTTAGAATGCAAAAGATGTCTTCTGCTTGCTCCAATCCTAAAGACCCAGGAACAACATAAACATAAGCCTTGGCACCTTGTTGCTCCTCATTTAAAGTCCCTGAAAAAGCACTTATTTTCTAGGAACCCAGAAGCCCTGTTCTACATCACATGCCACCAACCAGTCTTCCAACACTGGGAATGGGCAGGTCAGGCAGACGTACAGCTGTTTTCTGTTGTTATTTCTAAGGCACTCTGGATTGTACCCCCCTTGAGGTCAGCAAGCTAAAGGTTTTAAAGGAAAAAGGAAAAAGAAGAAAAGAAGTGTGAAGAGAGAAAGAAGTCAGTCTGTGTCATATCCCAGAATGGGGCCAAGCCATCTCTCCACCTCAGCTACCGGCATGTTCTTCCTCGAAGCATAATCCTCAATCTGTAAAAGACAGAAGCATCTTTGTTAAATCAGGGTGCTAAGACGTTCTTATCTGAGTTCCCACGGGCCTCTGACATAAACATTAAGTACCTGGCATATCTTGTCTTAACAGCAATCTACTGAGCTAAACAGAGGTATTTTCTGTCTGTCTACTTGCTTTCCTCTCTAAGCAGAAAACAACATGTGACAAATGTCTGCTGCTGAGAAGCCAGCAGAGGAGGAGGAGGAGGAGGAGGAGGAGGAGGAGGAGGAAGAGGAGGAGGAGGAGGAGGAAGAGGAGGAGGAGGAGGAGGAGGAGGAGGAGGAGGAGGAGGAGGAGGAGGAGGAGGAGGCGTGCGTGTAGAGGGGGGAGAGGAAGGGCTAGAATAGGGTAATGGGCTGAAATCAAATTAAGACACAAACTGGGGTGAGTTTACACACACACCATCATCACATCACTTCATTGTCATGTAAAATGGATCCTATAGGTTCATTGTAAAGACATTTATCTAGAGAAGCCACATATTTACCTGATCCTTGGAAACTTTCCCCACAGCAAAATATTTGGACTTTACATTGGAGAAGTAGAGACCTGATACTGCTGAAGCAGGTGCCATTGCCAAGGATTCTGTCAACTTGATGCCTGAAGAGAACCACAGGAAGTGATCAATGCCCAGGCAGGGTACTAACAGGCTCAGAGTGAGCACCAAGTAAACTCATGCCTCCTAGGTAGACACAATGACACAGTAAGAAGCTCTGATCACAGTCTCTAGCAAATTCTTGCCAGGTGGAACACCAAACTCAGGACATGCATGTTATACCCAGTGGGAACAAGCCTGGAAAAGACTGCATTCTTTCCCACAGCTACACTGAGTCTTCTTAGTTATGACTGCTAACCCTGACAGTAAGAGAACCACCCACAGATCCCCATGACTCTGTGAGGTCAGCTGGCAGCAGGAATGAAGAACAGGCCCACAGAAGCACAGAGAAGGAAGGGTTCCCAGGATTGTTATTCTGTAATCCGTACTCTATGGACAAGAACATGGAGTCACCAATGGCTGAATAAACCATCTCCAGCTCACTCACAAGAAATGGGGCTCACACCTAGATGGTGTAACTCTCAGAGCTGTTTCTGCAGACCCAGCTCTATTTTTGTTTGTTTTGTTTTGCTTTGTTTTGTTTTTTTAGACTTGGTTTCTCTGTGTAGCTTTGAAGCCTATCCTAGTACTCCCTCTGTAGACCAGGCTGGCCTCGATCTCACAGAGATCCACCTGCCTCTGCCTCCCAAGTGCTGGGATTAAAGGCGTGTGTCACCAATGCCCGGCTCAGTTCCTTTCTTTGACATGCATTCAACTTCCCCAGTTTTGATAGCTATTTTGATTAATTCCACCAGTGAGAAAGCTACGGGAAGGCTGGAGTTGTCAGTTCAGAGCCCAGAAACAGCCATGAGTAAACAGTGCAGGCCTGAGCGGAGAGAGGACAGAGGCTAACAGGACAGAGGCTGGCCACCAGCTACTGTACCAAGAGCAGAAAACCAGGGTAGGAAAGGCAGGGGGAAGAAAGGAGAAGGTAAATCCCCATCCAGGATGGGGCAAGAGTAAACAGTTTAAACTACTAAGTCTAAAATATTTAAGTAAAAATACAACGCTGTGCTTTGGAAGTAAAGTGTCAGAACAGATTCAAGTGAGAAAGGATGGAATGAGGGATGATTTTATTATGTTTTTCTGTTTATAAAAACTTTAACTGCATATGTCATTGGTAAGTTCATGCACTCAGTGAGCAAGGACAGTAGCTTGCCTCCCACACACCTGTGGCCTGCTCAATGTTGGCCAATCTCCACATGGTGAGCTTCTCAGTATGGTCAGGCTGGCTGGGATAACCAGGAGCTGGTCGGATGCCCTCATAGCGGAGTTTGCGCAGGTCTGTGACTCCCAACAGCTCACTACTACAGTAGGCCCACAGTTCTCGGCGAACTCTCTCATGCAGCTCCTCTGCAAAGGCCTGGGAATGCAAAAGGGACAGGCACAATCAAGTAGAAGCAGCCTGTGGCCTCCAGCCCTGCATCACGGTGGCACAGAACCACTTTCCCCACCGTGCCACAGTCTGGAAAAACTGTATTTTCATTAGCTGCCCTGAGACTCAATAGTGCCCTCAATTGAGTTCTAAAGTATCATCTTTAGTAATTTGAGAATTCTAGGCCATTTTCCTGAAGTCAATGAGACCATAGCTTTACCAGAAATGTACTGGGACCACAGACAGAGCTGTATTCTTCATCACCTACAGAAAGGAAAGGGAACAGGACCTCCCACAGCTTGGCCTGCCTCACTCCATATGCAGCAAAGATAACTCTACAAAAGTTGTCAACATTAGAGAAGACTCTAAAGCAGAAATCTGACTTTAATTCTGGGGCTTACCAGTAAAATGATGCACAATAATAATCATAGGAAGACTAATTCAGAGATTAAAATGATGTTATCACAGCAATCAAAGGAAAACTAATTCAGAGATAAGGTCAAGACTCCTGAGGGCAACAACCAACCAGGGAATCACCAGAAGTTTCTCTTTACTAAAAGATGACACATGGCATTTGTGAGACAGGACTTAAAAATATAGGTCATGTCAAAGCCAGCAGTATCCGGCTCAAGTACACAATGACATAGATTCTAAAGGCTGCTAAGTTTTCTGACACTGTCATGTGGGCTCCAACACCCATTCTCTACCCCAACACCCCAGTATCTGCCAATGCCTTACCTCTGCGAGCCGGTCACCCAGTGCCTTCACCATGATGCTGTTGTAGTCATCGCCGTCATCCTCGTAAGCCTTACTCAGTTCTTCAACCCCAAAGCAGGCAACAGCAAACAGACCCAAGTAGTCGCGGACACCAGAATGCAGAGGAGCAATGAAGTCTGAGAGGCAGTGGTAAGGGTCTGTACTGGAAGAGTCCTTCTCAGCCTTAAAACCCAAGCATTGGGCAGAGAAGCCATTAGCATGGCATGGCACCAGCATTTAGTAGAGAGCAAAATGAACGTAGTCAATAAAAAGTTAATAGCTCTAACTAATTCTTCCGAAGTACTTAACACTTTGTTGTTCTTTATAGGGCACTAATTTAGCTCTCAGCAATCCAGTGAAGAAAGTGATCCACAAACTCCATTTCACAGGTAAGAAATCCAAGACATAAAATTTGACCCCATAGGCTCAGTCGGATCCAGGAGCTGACACCAGTGCCCCATCAGTTCTACAAATAAATGTTCCTAGATACAAGGTACTGCTCTATACTGACCAATTAATTAAGGAGTAATCATTCAGAATCTTCTAAGCCATTTATTAATCATGAGAGCAAGTACAGCCTGACCCTGGGCAGAGAATAAGCCAGTGGATGCTGGTCAGAAGACATTAGTGTCCCAGTGCTCAGAGACAGAGGTGAATGGAGGGTCAGTCCATTTTACAGTGGTACTCTACTGCCTTTTGATTTAAAAAATGAAAAAGAAGCGAGAGAGACACAAAGCTATTCTGCAGTAGACAGGTCACTGGTCCCACTGTGCCTTAGAAGGGATGGCAATCAGAGTTACTCTGAACAAAAGGTTCCCAGAGTAACAAGGTGCTCAGCTACAATTTTTCAGTGCCCTGCAGATCACCTCCTAATAAATGGCTATTCATGTAGGCAATACACATCCATGGTCCAGTTCCCCTTTCTAGGGACTAAGAGAGTGAACTGAGAGACCATTGTGGTAAATGCCCTTAAACAGCATGTCCAGACTTCCCCAACACAACAGGAATCATAGTATTTAGTTCATTCTGGAAAGGAAAAGATAGCAGAGGAAAACCAAGGACTGGAGGATGAAAGAATGGGTCCAGCAGGTGTCTGGCCTTAGCTACCAGTCAAAGAAAAGCTCGTGATTCCCTAGCAAGAAAGGGGCAGAGCTCAGTACTGGAACTCCCTACCCTGGGTCCTGCAGCGTCTGAGCCTGCACATACAGACTAAAGCCGAAATAGTTCTCACATAACTCCTTATGGTACTAAGGCCCAAATTTAAGAATCTCATCCGTTGTTACTAGTAAAACCCTGTCATTATGAGTTGCATTATGATAAAAGGCAACACCACCAATTTTAAACTACTAAAAATGCTAGTAAAACTAAAAAGTAATTTACTGCTAATTATTAAATTCTAGCTCCAATTCTTGACTGAGACAATTGTGACTATAGCAGCTAAAGTCTTTGCATGGTGCTTGCATTTTTAAAGGTGAGGTAAAAACCAAAGACAGACAGTGTACACTGAGAACTATTACTAGGAGAATACAGCCAGGGTGCACTAAGGGGGCTTGCCTCTCCGCACACAAAGCTCAGGGCCAGCTCACTCTGCCCATTTTTTTCCCTCTGTGAAGGAGACAACACACCATGAAACAGTTACACTATGGCCATCTTACTCCAGCTTCAGCACCTGGCAGTGTGCACATTCTGGGATATTTGTCCTCACCAGACTTTGTGAGGAGCCGCCCTCGCTATCGCTATTGCCGTTAGAAGATGGCGCTGACATCCACTGTCAGTTGGAGTTAACTGTCGCTGTCAGTTGGAGTTAACTGTCGCTGTCAGTTGGAGTTAACTGTCGCTGTCAGTTGGAGTTAACTGTCGCTGTCAGTTGGAGTTAACTGTCGCTGTCAGTTGGAGTTAACCGTTTAAACTGTGCCTCTCCCGTGACGTCATCTGGGGTGATGTGCAAACCACCAATCCCGGCTCTACACATCTCACTCGGAGCTCCTAGGCTTATATAAGGGGCTGGGTTTCTTAGCTTGGGGTCTCCCTCTAAGAAGCTGATCATCTATCTCTCAAGATGCATTAAAGCTTTACTGCAGAAGGATCCGAGTGTTCTGCGTCGTTCTTGCTGGCGAGACGGTAGCGCGGGACATCTGGTGCCGAAGCCCGGGAACTCTTCAACATCGCCGGCGCCGCGGGAGACCCTCGGAAGACGGGGCGGATTCAGAACTGCAGGGACGTAGGTTCAGAGAGGTATGCTTTATCCTGAACAACCCTTTTCTCGACTTTGGCCTTAGTTTGTCATCACCGTGGGACGGGTCAGTGGAGGCTTTGGTGCTAGTCCTGTTTGTCCTTCTCCTTCATCGTGGCTGGTGCTGACAGAACGGCGCTGTCCATCTGGCGCTGTCCATCTGGCGCTGTCCATCTGGCGCTGTCCATCTGGTGCTGTCAGTCTGGTGCTGTCAGTCTGGTGCTGTCAGTCTGGTAACGGAGTTGAGCGCGTTTTTAGATAAGCTGTCAGCGCGATGGGGTCGTCACAGTCAGTGGTTACAGCCTTACAGACTGTGCTAAAACAAAGAGATCTTAAAATTGCACCACGAACACTTCAAAATTTTGTGAAGGAGGTAGATAGAGTGGCACCATGGTATGCTTGTTCCGGGTCCCTCACTGTGGCCTCATGGAACAAGCTAGGTAAAGAACTAGACAGGAAGCATGCAGAAGGAGATCTCTGCTTAGGTACCAAAGCCATTTGGAAGCTAGTTAAAAACTGCTTGGAGGATGAGGCCTGTCACCCTGCTATAATAGAAAGTCAGGGAACCTTAGAGGAAGTTCAGGATAGCATGTCAGAAACTGAACGGAGTGAGAGAATGGGAGCTCGCAAAAGAAAAGACATGTCTAAGAAAAAAGGCCCTCCCCAGGAAGTTAAGAAAGGGGGAGAGAAAGAAGGGAGTTATCATTCACCCCTTAACAAATCTAAGAAAAAGAAAAAGCCAGAATCTAGTCTATACCCTACAGTAGAGCTAGAAGCCTTGGAGCTAGATAATTCTGATTCTGACACTCTGTATTCTAGCGAAGAAGGTGGTCTAGAGGAGGAGGTGGCACGGTATGAGGAAAAAAGATATCACCCTGATAGACACCGGCCACTGAAAACAAAAATGAATGTGAGGCCACCGCCTATAAATCCGGCGGGCTCACGCCCCTCAGCGCCTCCGCCATATGAGCTTCGGCTGAATACTGGTACTGACTCCTTTTTACCTTTAGAGGAACGGAGAAAAATACAAATGGCTTTTCCAGTATTCGAGAATGTGGAAGGCGGAAGAGTACATACCCCGTAGATTACAATCAAATTAAAGAATTGGCCGAATCCGTTCGTAATTATGGGGTCAATGCTAACTTTACCACATTACAGGTGGAAAGGCTTGCTAATTTTGCCATGACTCCCACTGACTGGCAAACGACAGTGAAAGCAGTGCTTCCCAACATGGGACAATACATGGAATGGAAGGCTCTCTGGTATGATGCAGCCCAGGCACAAGCTAGAGTTAATGCCACGGCTGAAGATGAGAATCAGAGGCAGTGGACATTTGAAATGCTGACAGGTCAGGGTCAACATGCCCTTAATCAAACCAACTACATCTGGGGCGTCTATGGTCAGGTGTCGGCCGCCGCTATTAAAGCATGGAAGGCCCTCACAAAAGGGGAGAGTCCAGTGGACACCTTACAAAGATTGTCCAAGGACCCCAAGAGCCATTTTCAGACTTTGTGGCCAGAATGACAGAGGCCGCCAGTCGCATCTTTGGTGATTCAGAACAAGCTATGCCCCTGATTGAGCAACTTGTCTATGAACAAGCAACCCAGGAATGTCGAGCGGCTATCGCCCCTCGCAAAAGCAAAGGTTTACAAGATTGGCTCAGAGTGTGCAGGGAGCTGGGGGACCCCTAACCAATGCAGGACTAGCTGCCGCCATTTTACAAACGCACAGGTATAGAGATTTATCTAATCGAAAAGCTTGTTTTAATTGTGGGAGAATGGGGCACCTTAAGAAAGATTGTCAAGCCCCTGAAAGAACAAGAGAATCGAAGCTTTGCTATCGTTGTGGTAAAGGTTATCATAGGGCTAGCGAATGCAGGTCAGTCCGGGATGTAAAAGGAGGCTTCTGCCCCCTATTGAAGAATCCAAGGTACCCCAATCAAAAAACGGGTCACGGGGCCCATGGTCCCAGGGCCCTCAGAAATATGGGAACCAATTTCAGAAAAGCAATCAAGAGGAAGTAGAGGCTTCCGAGGAACCTCCGGAATGGACTTGCGTGCCGCCTCCGACTTCTTACTCATGCCCCAAATGAATGTTCAACCGGTCCCAGTCCATTCCCCTGGACCTTTGCCCCCTGCCACCATTGGGCTTATTCTGGGCCGTGGCTCCTTAACTTTACAGGGACTCATTATATATCCTGGAATTGTTGACCCATATCATAAAGAGGAGATTCAAGTTCTCTGTTCTAGCCCTCGGGGTGTATTTTCTATAAAGCAGGGAGATAGAATTGCACAACTGGTGTTGCTGCCCTCCCTCGGGGATGGAGAAACCTACACTTTACAAAAAAGGGCTATGGGATCTTCTGGAAGTGATTCAGCCTATCTGGCTATACCCCTAAATGAGAGACCTACAATAAAATTGTTAATTAATGGAAAAGAATTTGAAGGGATAATGGATTCGGGAGCAGACAAAAGCATTATTTCACTCCATTGGTGGCCGAAGTCTTGGCCCACTGTTGTTTCATCTCATTCTCTACAAGGTCTTGGATACCAGTCCTCTCCTGCCATCAGTGCCTCAGCCTTAACCTGGCGGGATGCTGAAGGCAAACAGGGATGTTTTACCCCCTATGTGTTGCCACTCCCTGTAAATTTATGGGGACGAGATGTGTTACAAGCCATGGGCATGACCCTAACTAATGAATACTCCCCCAGGCATCAGCCATTATGGCAAAGATGGGGTATACAAATGGTAGAGGCTTGGGTAGGCAAGAACAAGGCAGAATAAAACCCATTACACAACACGGAAATCGGGGTAGAAAAGGACTGGGTTTTATTTAGGGGCCGTTGAGGCTTCACGACCCATACCATGGAAAACAGAGGAGCCGTTATGGGTCTCTCAATGGCCTCTATCCTCTGAAAAATTAGAGGCTGTCACAAGATTAGTGCAAGAACAGGAACGGCTGGGGCATCTAGAGCCTTCTACCTCCCCATGGAATACACCAATTTTTGTTATTAAGAAGAAATCTGGGAAGTGGAGATTACTCCACGACCTGCGGGCCATTAACAATCAGATGCATCTTTTTGGCCCTGTTCAAAGAGGCCTTCCTTTGCTTTCTGCACTTCCTCAAGATTGGAAGCTTGTTATTATCGATATTAAGGATTGTTTCTTCTCTATTCCACTTTACCCACGGGATAGACCAAGGTTTGCCTTCACTATCCCTTCTCTTAATCATATGGAACCAGACAAGAGATTTCAGTGGAAGGTACTGCCGCAAGGCATGGCCAATAGCCCAACAATATGTCAGCTATATGTGCAGGAGGCTTTGGAGCCAATTAGGAAGCAATTTACATCTTTAATCGTTATCCATTATATGGACGATATTCTTATTTGTCACAAAGAGTTAGATGTTTTACAAAAGGCTTTTCCCATGCTGGTGGCTGAATTAAAACAGTGGGGATTAGAGATTGCCTCAGAAAAGGTTCAAATTGCAGATACAGGCCTCTTTTTGGGCTCAAAGATTACTCCCAAAAATATAGTTCCTCAGAAAATAGAAATTCGCAAAGACCACTTACAAACATTAAATGATTTTCAGAAACTTCTGGGAGATATAAATTGGTTGAGGCCCTTTTTAAAAATTCCATCTGCTGATCTAAAACCCCTCTTCGATCTCCTGGAGGGTGAGCCTCATATCTCCTCACCCAGAAAATTTACCCCTGCCGCCCACCGAGCCTTACAGATGGTGGAAGAGGCCTTACAGGAAGCACAATTACAACGAATTGAGGAGTCACTACCTTTTAATCTGTGTGTTTTTAAGACAGCTCAATTGCCAACTGCAGTCCTGTGGCAACATGGACCATTACTTTGGATTCATCCAAATGCTTCCCCTGCTAAGATTATTGACTGGTACCCTGATGCTGTTGCACAGCTCGCTTCGCGGAATAAAAGCAGCTGTTACACATTTTGGCAGGGATCCTGATTCCTTGATTGTGCCTTATACTGCTGCACAAGTTCAGACCTTGGCAGCCACATCTAGTGATTGGGCAGTTTTAGTTACTTCCTTTTCAGGACAAATTGATAATCATTTTCCAAAGCATCCAATTTTACAGTTTGCCCTAAACCAGGCTATAGTGTTTCCACAAGTGACAGCTAAAGACCCACTCCCAGATGGGACTGTGGTGTACACTGATGGATCAAAAACTGGTATGGGAGCTTATGTGGTCAAGGATAGGGTTATATCTAAACAATATAATGAAACTTCACCTCAAGTTGTAGAATGTCTGATAGTACTGGAGGTTCTTGAGGCTTTTCCAGGACCCCTCAATATTGTATCAGATTCCTCTTATGTGGTTAATGCAGTTAATCTCCTTGAGATAGCTGGAATAATAAGATCCTCCAGCAGAGTTGCTAACATCTTTCAGAAGATACAAGCTGCCTTGTTAAATAGGAGATTTCCTGTTTTCATTACCCATGTCCGAGCACATTCTGGACTCCCAGGTCCCATGTCCTTAGGGAATGACTTAGCGGACAAGGCTACAAAGCTGGTGGCCGCTGCCTTGTCTACCCATGCACAAGCAGCAAAAGAATTCCATAAGCGCTTTCATGTGACGGCTGAGACCTTGCGCCGTCGTTTTGCTCTATCCAGGAAAGAGGCTAGGGAAATTGTTACTCAATGCCAGAATTGCTGCGAATTCTTACCTACTCCCCACATGGGAATAAACCCACGTGGCATTAGACCATTGCAGATGTGGCAGATGGATGTTACTCATATTCCCTCTTTTGGAAGGCTTCAATATGTTCATGTTTCTGTTGACACCTGTTCTGGCGTAATGTTTGCCACACCCCTAACAGGGGAAAAGGCCTCATATGTGATTCAACATTGCCTTGAGGCCTGGAGTGCTTGGGGAAAACCCAGAATTTTAAAAACAGACAATGGACCAGCATATACCTCTCAAAAATTCCGACAGTTTTGTCGGCAAATGGATGTTACCCATCTAACTGGCCTACCTTATAACCCTCAAGGACAGGGCATTGTGGAACGTGCCCATCGTACACTCAAATCATATCTGATTAAACAAAAGGGGAGTATTGAGGATGTTCTACCCTCGGTACCAAGAGTTGCTGTATCCATGGCACTTTTTACCCTTAATTTCTTGAACTGTGATGCCCAAGGCCACACTGCGGCTGATCGCCACAGTTTAGAGCCTGATAGGCCAAAAGAAATGGTAAAATGGAAAGATGTCTTGACTGATCTCTGGAAAGGCCCGGATCCTATTCTTATAAGATCCAGGGGAGCTGTGTGTGTTTTTCCACAGGAGGAAGAAAACCCCTGTGGATCCCTGAAAGACTCACTCGAAGAGCTCCTTCACAACTCCAGAATAAGAAGGATGGAGGCCAAGTGGGTGATGAAGACTCTCCTACTCGGGATGATGGTTCCTAGTATGATGGGAGAGTTACGGTGGGCCATCATGTCTACCTTCCCCTACCGATGCCAGTGATGCAGAATGCCCAGGTGTTCCCTAGATTTTTCACAAATAATAGAGAGTTGGGGCTTGCCTTTTTGCCTTTAGATCCTCAGATACAGAGTTTTCAGGATGAGAGAACCTTGTCATTAGTAGGAAGCTTGTGCTTTACTGTGATTTCTTCATTAAAGGATAATTTTATTCATATGGATCCAGAAAGATCTAATGCTAATCCTTTTGAATTAATGGAAGCTGTACTGATCTTTCTCCTATGATAGTGAGAAGGGACAGATTACTTTTGATTGGAAAGGGGCATTAGGCAACAGTCTGAGTGAGGGACAGAGCTCTGGATCATCTGATTGGTCCTCCTCCAATGTTAAGTATACCCCTTTTAAGAGAACTAATTATTCAGCTGCCCTTTATTTGGGTTGTGAGTAATGATACCTTAGGTAAGAATCAGAAAGAAATAAATTGCTCTGCTTAGAATTGTTTTTATGCATTATGCTGGGATGCTATTAAGCACCCTTTTGCTTTGGTAATGCGCATGCCTCGATTTATTCCAGCTCCTGTTGAGGCGCCAAGTAATTTGAGTTTGTTTAGGGAAAAGCGAGATTTTTGGGATCTCTGCTATTATTGTGGGCCTGATAGCCACCGCCGCGGTTACTGCTTCGGTTACCGCCTCGGCCCTTGCACTTTCCGCCACTGTGCAGACAACTCAAACCATTAATGAACTATAGGCCACTGTGACCATGGTCCTAGATAAACAGGCCACTGCCAATTCTCAGATACAAGGAGGCCTGATGTTGGTAAACCAACAGATTAATTTGGTTCAGGAACAATTGGATATATTGTGGCAGATGGCCAAATTGGGATGTGAACAAAGTTGCCTGGCCTTTGTGTCACTTCAGTACAATATGAGAATTTTACAAGAGCAGCTAACCTGTCAAAAGCTCTGTCTCAACATTTATTACAGAATTGGACTTTTGAGTTTGAGCAGACACTCCGTGAGTTGAGAATGGCGATCCTGCAAGTGAATTCGACGCATCTGGATCTTTCTCTGATGGAAGACCTCTCCCCCTGGATTTCATCTGCATTTTCTTATTTTAAGGAATGGGTGGGGGTAGGATCATTTAGCCTAGTTCTCTGCTGTGGAATAGTGTTGATGCTTTGGATGGTGTGTACGCTCAGAGCCCAAACAAAAGAGACAAAGTGGTGGTGGCACAAGCACTTGCTGCCTTAGAACACGGAGCATCCCCTGACATTTGGTTAACCATGTTAAAGCAATAGGTCGCTGGCCTCCCAGCTCTTGCACCCCACGAGGCTAGTCTCATTGCACGGGATAGAGTGGGTAGGCTTCAGCAGCCCAAGGAGTTGCAAGGCTAAGCACTGCACAGGAGAGGTCTGCGGTATAACGACTTTCTCCTGGGAGATAAGTCATCTTGCATGAAGGTTCTATGTCATGATCTCCTTCCCCCAGAAAAAAGACATCGGACTGGTCAGGACTTCCTCTGGGGATAAGACCCTGGAGAGGAGCTTTGTACATGTTCCGAATTTGCACATGGGGATTTGACCTCTATCTCCACTCCAAAGTTGTGGGTGTCCTATTGCTTCAAAAATAAATGAATAGGGGGAGATGTGAGGAGCCGCCCTCGCTATCGCTATTGCCGTTAGAAGATGGCGCTGACATCCACTGTCAGTTGGAGTTAACTGTCGCTGTCAGTTGGAGTTAACTGTCGCTGTCAGTTGGAGTTAACCGTTTAAACTGTGCCTCTCCGTGACGTCATCTGGGGTGATGTGCAAACCACCAATCCCGGCTCTACACATCTCACTCGGAGCTCCTAGGCTTATATAAGGGGCTGGGTTTCTTAGCTTGGGGTCTCCCTCTAAGAAGCTGATCATCTATCTCTCAAGATGCATTAAAGCTTTACTGCAGAAGGATCCGAGTGTTCTGCGTCGTTCTTGCTGGCGAGAC